AAAAAATAAACACTAACCTTATCGACCTCCCACCATGCAGGATAAAGTTGAGCTTGTCCATTGCCCAACAAAAATGATTCATCTCGTTGATTCTTCAAGTGAACTGCGTGAAAAGCCGTCGGCATTATTGTATATAGCGAATTTTTTTTATTTTTCCTAAGCTTCCTTATTATTAGTAGACGTGACACCCACGCATCGATATGATGTTTTACAAAAAAATACATATATTAGTGAATTACATTAATTTTTAAACAAATTAATCAAAATCATATATAAGACAAATATAAGACTTACCTCCCCATCCAAATAGCCACTGTCTTCAACCCCTAATAGCACACCCCACCAAGACCGATCAAGCAACAAAAACATTTCATCGTTGAGTTTGCTGATGTCAGTGTAACACCCTTGGCTCCGCTCATGTAGATAAAAATCAACTGCGGTCTTAGCCCAAAGGGTATTATCCACAATTGTTTCCGGTAGTTGTCTCCTCTCCACTTCAGATACCGGAAGGGTACTAGCCGGTAACTCATACGAGAGCCAACTCTCATTCATCATGTCCGGAACTGGTGGGGGTTTCTCAATACTTCGATATATTACCCCATGTGAATCGGGCTCTGGAATGGTGGGAGGGACCTCTTCAACGATGACAGTGGCCTCTTGAACGGTGGGGGGGGATCTTGAGGGAGAATAGGGGCCTCTTGAACGATTGGAGGGGACTCTTGAGGGATGACCGGTGAGTCGGGCTTCTTCTTGCGGAGTCTTCGCACCATTGGGGTGAATGGAGACGTAATAGCACGTCCACGCCGTCTGATGCGTGAACTCCGTCGTGCAAGGAAAACCCGACGTAAAGCATCCACCTTATCGGGTCGCTAAAAAAAATTAATACATAAATCAGAAAATAAACAGACATGATATTAAACAAAGACAAATATGTTTCAAACTAGCATTGTATTCACCCAAATCATTATTCTATCATAGTTCACAAAATGCTCAGATAACATTCCAGAAGTAAGCACTTATATAAACATTTAAAAGGACAACATATATAAACATTCCAGAAGAAGAATAGTTTACTTTCGCAAAACGAAACTTAAAATCGCAACGCGAAATGACTATCGCAACGCGGAAATGGCTATCGCAATGCGAAATGAAAATCGCAACGACAAAATCGCAACGCGAAACACAAATCGCATTGCGATTTTCATTTCGCGTTGCGATTTTGTCGTTGTGATTTCATTTCGCATTGCGATTTTGTCGTTGCGATTTTCATTTCGCATTGAGATAGCCATTTCCGTGTTGCGATAGTCATTTTCGTGTTGCAAAAGTAAACTATTCTTCTTCTGCAAATTGAAACTTGAATGGATTGCATTACTTCAACCAAAAGACAAAAACAAAACCAAAAACAAATAATAACAAAAACAGTTTAGCAGTATTGGCAGCAACCGAATGAATTACGAGTATGAAAAATCTTAAACTTACCTCGTTACGTAGAGTATGAACCTCATTCTGCAACGATGCTACCATCTCACGTAGAGCGGCTACCTCACCGCGTAATGTAGACACCTCAACACGCCATGCACCATCGTCTTTGCGTAAAGTACCGACCTCCTCACGCAAGGCATTGACCTCATCATGTAACTCCCCTAACTCATCCCGTTGAGGTGGAGGTGGAGAACAGGGAGATAAACGTCGTGGCATCTTTGTCGATCGCCTATCTTACGGTGATGGTGGAGAAGAGGCTCGATGATGTGACAGAATAGGTGATGGCTGTCGTTGTGGAGGTGTATAGCCGGGTCGATCAGATGATGGCTCTGGGTGAGGTAATAGCTCTGGGCGAGGTGATGGCTCCCGAAGTGGAGGCTGCTCATCAACCGTTCCATCAAAAAAACGCTTACTAGCTTGCCACCAATCAGTGGCAAGCTCAGCTTCCGTGGGTGTCAGCCTCTGTAGAGGAGTGTTGGCCTCCTAACAATATAAAAGCTCAAACAAAGTTAAACGTGTACTAGTAATAACTTGTTTATAAACATATGGTAGTATTTATGTTAACTTACATTATTTATTGTCGTATACCGTAGTAAATCTTCCCATTGCAAGGTCCGTTTCCTCTTCCAGGAAATAGCCCTGGGAATATCATTTGAAGTTTTTATTGCATATGTCTTCATGGCGGGAAAGGCCTCAAATATCCAAATCTACAAACAAATAATAACAAACATTAGTAATTGTTAAATAATTACTTATAATTTTGGAAACATCATATAAAAATTCTTACCTTAAAGGCCCAAATAAAGCCTGTCAAAGTGTATTTGGAACCATCGCCATGCAAACTTTTTCGATCATCCAAGGCAGACGATAACTTATTCCATGTAGCTTTCCATAAATACGAGCCCCACGGAAACAGGTTCCACGCATTTAGGTCTTCTACCAATTTGATTAGATCATTGGAATAGGTTGTCTGGCCTCTCTACCTAAAAAGCCGGCATGCAAAAGAATTAGAAGGCATACTCGGACAACGTCGACGTCATCCATCCGAGTAAAACCATCTTTATTATTCAAAAATCTTGTCAGGTCTTCTACGTGTAGACTCGGCCTCTCCAGCTCAGGAAAAACCCGGGATAGCCATGATGGGCGGGTAATGTGTCTAGTGTATCGACCTACATCATCGTGTCCGAAGCGTAGACCGGTGATTAAGCAAAACTCCTCCCGCCCAAAACACGTATACGCCGGTGGAAAATCAAACCATATCTCTTCATCACGACGTTGTATAGTCTCTGGTAGATCGCTAGTCATGGTTTGAAGAAACAGTGTGTCAACATCGCATCTCCACCGGGATGTTGTACTTTCAGCCATGGCCGATGCATGTATCCTTAAACATTTTTCTTTGTGCAGGTGAAAGCTTCGACGCAATTGTTTTGGCCAGGCTGACTTTATTTCTCAAGGTCAATTGAGCCGAATAAAAGTTCTACAAAAACAATAAACACACTAAATTAGATATACCAAAAACTACACTGTGAAGATATACCAAAAACAATAATAAACATAAATAGTAGTAGTTATTCTTCAAACTTAATATGCAACACTGTGAATTTCGTATTTGTCTTTGTTTTTTGGTTGAAGTAATGCAATTCATTCAATTTTCAATTTGCAGAAGAAGAATAGTTTCTGAAAATGAAAATCGCAACACGAAAATGAAAATCGCAACACCAATTCGACTATCGCAATGAGAGAATCGCAACGCGAAACTAAAATCGCGTTGCGATTTGCATTTCGCGTTGCGATTCTCGGTTGATTTAATAAGCAATCTAAGTGAAATGGTTAATCTATTATTGAAATTACCAGTAAACTTATCATCAATTTCAATATGAAAAACCTAATAATAATGCAAAAATTTCAAAAAGAAAATAATTAAAAAAACTAATCCTCGTTGGTTGATTTGGTTGATTTTCCATTTCTGATTGTGAGGGTGGCTCTGAGAGATGGAGACAGACGGATTTCGCCGGAGATGGGGACGGATTTCGTCGGAGATGGGTGAGAGAGTGAGAGATGGAGATGGGATTGAGTTGTGATTTTAGGTTTTAGGTTATGAGTTGCGATTACGGGATATACTGTGGACAGTTCAGTGTTCCAATATATTAATATTCGTGTTTGGAATTTAAAAATAAAATACTTGGCCAGGATACTAATGGCGCTTTGAAAATCGCATTGCGATTATGTATTATCGCGTTGCGAAAATCAGAATCGCGTTGCGAAAGTCAGTATCGCGTTGCGAAAGTAAGTATCTCGTTGCGATTTTTTATTATCGCATTGCGATAGTCAGTATCGCATTGCGATTTTCCCAATTCGCGTTGCGATTTACTTATTCGCATTGCGATTTTCCCAATTCGCGTTGCGATTTACTTATTCGCATTGCGAATTGTGAAAATCGCAACGATACTGTAGACCATCGCAACGCGATTTTCAACTATCGCATTGCGAAAATGCAACGCGAATTTGCGATAATGGAGATCGCGTTGCGATTTAGCGATCGCATTGCGATTTTGTTGGTCATTTTGGCAAATCCGGAAAAAGTTGGTTAAAATCGTATATTATATGGGATTTTTGGTCACTAAGGTTATTTTCTCTAAAAAATATTATATATTAAAAATATTACCTTAAAATGAAAGATCGAACGAACTTCTGAATCAAAGATAAGTGGATTGTCGGGTAATGTTTACTAGTTGAGAGTATTGTTGTGTGATATCTCGGATTGAGAGGATTGTTGTGTGATTTTATAGGTTGAGAGCGTAGCCTTTTATAGCCGAGAGAAAAGTTTAAAAGCTGAGGAATTCGTATACAATTATACAAGGCGCGACCCATGCATCGCACCTATCTGGTGCGTGTGTCAGTCGACAGAAAGGCGCGGCCCATACACCGTACCTTACCCTACGTGGCTCCTCTGCTGGCATAAGGCGCGACTCATGCATCGTGCCTTACCCCACGTGGTGCCACATTAGCGTAAGGCACGGTGCATGGGCCGCGCCTTATGCCAACAGTGAGCCACGTGGGGTAAGACGCAGTGCATGGGCCGCGTCTTTCTACAAAGAGTGTTAGATCCGTATTTTTTTTCTAAAATAGTATCTGACACGTAAATATATAATAAAAAGGTGATTTTTGGGGAAACGAGGATGATTTCATGAATAATGTAGAGTTTAATATTTTTCTCATTAAAAAAATTAATAAATAATTTTAACTTTAAATTATCAAATATACTTAAGATATTAATGTTGAAGTTATAAATAATTAAATAAATATTCAATAAATTTCAAACTTTATGTAATTTTATTTTCTTCTCTCTTAGTTGGATAGCCATGCCGTAGGAATGGGATTTATTCCGTAGACTTAGTTGACTTGACCTCCTTGTCAAGTGGAAGTTCCTTGCGCCTGCTGTCTACCATATTATTTTTAGCATGACTCTCTATATATTCGCAGTTGCTAGAATATGTTACTATAATGCAATTGCAACCATGACAATTCTTACAATATCCTCATTCTCATTTCTTCTTCTCATTGCAGCTGCCTGTGTTAGCCTCTGCCATGGCAATTCCAATGTGCTTTGCATTGGAAGTGAGAGAGACGCTCTTTTGAAGTTGAAGAATGATCTGATCGATCCCTCAAACACCCTATCTTCTTGGGTTGAAGGTGGGGATTGCTGTCATTGGAATGGTGTCGTCTGCCATAACTCAACAGGCCACGTCCTCCAACTGCACTTGCCTGCTCCTTTTTCACCTCCTGATGATTGGGCACCACTTGCTGAACTGGAAGCCTACCGTCATTCAGCTCTAGCAGGCAAAATAAATCCTTCTCTGCTGGAGTTGCAGCATCTCAATTGGCTTGACCTGAGCAATAACAATTTTAGCAGCATTCAAATCCCTGAGTTTTTGGGTTTGCTGGGTAGTTTAACACATCTTAACCTCACTCAAGCAGGATTCCGGGGAGCAATTCCTCGTAACCTTGGGAATCTCTCAGAGTTGCAGTATCTTGACCTCGGAGGTAATTATTTATCGGAAGAAGTGAAAAGTCTTCAATGGGTTTCTGGACTTTCTTCTTTGCGGTACCTTGATTTGAGTGATGTGGATCTTCGGAATGCAACTGATTGGCTGCAGGTAACAATATCCAATCTTCCTTCTTTGTTAGAGTTGCACTTGTCTGGTTGCATGTTACAAAATGATACATCTCCGATCAGCACTGTTAATTTTACAAATTCACTAGCCGTTCTTGATCTTTCTGGGAACAAATTATCTTCAGTTCCTATGTCGATATTTGGTCTTCATGGTCTTGTGTCGCTTGATCTTAGAGGTAATAATTTGGAAGGCCCAATTCCAGATTACTTTGGGAACATGTCGTTTCTTAAAGTTGTTGATCTTAGTTCCAACTCGCTCAATTCATCCATACCCAACTCCTTGTATAGTTTAAACCATCTTCAATTCCTTGGCCTTAGATTTAGCCACTTAAAAGGAGAAATTTCGAGTGCTATTGGAAAACTTGAGCTCTCTCATTCACCTTGATCTGTGGGGCAATCAGCTTCAAGGAAAAGTACCAGCCTCTTTAGGAGATCTTTGCAAATTGAAGGAGATGGATTTGTCAAATAATGGAATTGATCAAGACATATCTGAAATCCTACGGAGTCTGTCTAAATGTTGTTTGGAGAGCTTAGAGTCATTGAGTATGGAACTTAACCAACTTTCTGGCCATTTAACTCATAAACTTGGGCAATTTAAAAATCTAGCTTACCTGGACCTTTCTCGAAACAACATTTCTGGTCCCATTCCACTGTCGATAGGGGAGTTATCATCTTTGAAGGTCTTTGATGTTTCAGAAAATCAATTAAATGGTACTCTTCCTCCAAATTTTGGAAAATTGGCAAATTTAGAAGCTTTATATATTTGGGAAAATCAATTAAATGGTACTCTTCCTCCAAGTTTTGGGCAGTTGAAAAATTTAGAAGCTTTATGTATTGGTCAAAACAACATTTCTGGTCCCATTCCACTGTCGATAGGGGAGTTATCATCTTTAAAGGTCTTTGATGTTTCAGTAAATCAATTAAATGGTACTCTTCCTCCAAGTTTTGGGCAGTTGAAAAATTTAGAAGCTTTATATATTGGGCAAAATCAGTTGGAAGGAGTTGTATCGGAAACTCATTTTTCTAATCTCACAAAGTTGTCAACGTTGTCTGCATCCGGAAACATGTTGAGATTTGAACCAAACTCAAGCTGGATTCCTCCGTTTCAATGTGAAATTATCGAATTGAGTCATTGGCATCTTGGCCCCAAGTTTCCCCAGTGGTTGAAGTTCCAAAAGAAGTTGTCTCTTTTAGATCTCTCTCATGCGGGAATAGCGGACGTCGTGCCCACTTGGTTTTTGAACCTTTCCTTTCAACATCGAAAGTTAAATCTTTCCTCTAATCAACTTACTGGAGGGATTCCATATTTGACAGTAGGAGACATTGTCGACCTGAGTTCAAACCGATTCTCTGGTCCACTGCCAAGACTTTTGCAACCTTTGGTATATTTAAGTTTGTCAAGGAATTTATTTTCAGGATCCCTTTCTGAATTTGTTTGCAATTCATCAGTGACATCAATGATCGCTCTTCACATTGATACAAATCTTCTCTCTGGAGAAATTCCAGATTGCTGGAACCGTTGGTGGAGTTTGTGGCTCTTAAATTTGGGAAACAACAATTTGACAGGAAGAATCCCATCTTCTTTGGGAGACTTGGAACTTAAAATGCTAAACCTTCGGAACAATAGCATGTTTGGAGAATTACCCTCCAATTTGCAAAGTTGGTGGGGTTTGTCTTTTCTTGATCTCAGTGAAAATCATTTCAGTGGAAGAATACATGCATGGATTAGTGACGGGCTCTCTAACCTTATGGTACTAAGCCTCCGGTCAAATAACTTTGTTGGGCATATCCCTCATCAAATTTGCGCTCTTCAATATCTTCAGATCTTGGACCTTGGACACAACGACATTTCAGGAGCTATTCCAAAATGTTTGAGAAATTTAACGGCAATGGCCATTAAAGAAAAACAAAGTGAGAACTATTACAGTGGGATATCGTTCGATAGAAGAGAAGAAAACATCAATTATTTGACGAGTGTGTCATTGGTGCTGAAAGGGCGAGAGGACTTGTATAGTACCACACTGGAACTTGTTACAAGCATAGACCTTTCAGCTAATAGTTTTACAGGAAAGATCCCAAAAGAACTTGGAAGTCTCATTGGGCTATTGTCATTAAATTTGTCAGGGAATCTCCTAACAGGAAATATACCAGACAGCATTGGCAACTTGGAGTTGATGGAATCACTTGATTTGTCGATGAATCGTTTGCATGGTGGAATCCCTTCAAGTTTCTCAAATTTGAACTTCTTGAATCACTTCAACGTGTCCTACAACAACCTGACAGGACAAATCCCAACATCCACTCAGCTTCAAAGCTTTGATAACTCTTCCTTCATGGGCAATCATCTCTGCGGGCCTCCTGTGAGTAAAAGCTGCAGCACTAAAGGTGTTCCTACTGATGCTTCAAAGAATGGAGAAAGCAGTGGAAGAAGTAAAGTGAACGGGTTTTATGTGAGCATGGTTGTTGGGTTTGTAATGGGATTTTGGGGAGTGGTGGCTCCCCTGTTTTTCATCAGGTCATGGAGGCATGCATATTATGGAAAGCTGGAGCATATTGGTAACAAGGTGTATGTGTTTTGGGCTACTAAATGTATTTAGTTCCACGGGGAAACAAATAAAATGTATAATTAATGTTTGCGTGTGTTTGTAGTCTGTGTAACTTATTGAAAAAGTACGTGTGATTGAAAAGTTACAGCAAGTATAATTAAGGTTTGTGTGTGTTTGTAGTTTGTGTAATATATTGAAGTACGGATGAAGTGTGTTTGGTATTTCAACAATGAGTATATGGTTTGGTTGAGGTGTGCAAATGTTTCCTTTTTTACTTTGTGCAGTCCATTAACTTAGGAGATTGATTTCAACAAGCCGTTATCGTCTCGAACTCGGATTGATTTCAATAATTTGTTTCCAATGTGGTGTGGTGGTAACAATGGAATCTTGATTTGCAGCAGTGGTTGCTGCCTTATTCTCATTTCATTTTATCATTGCTGCTATCTGTGTTAGCTTTTGCTATTGCAGTTTCATGCAAGGAAGAAAAGTAAGTCGGTTCATAGCAACTGAACTGAATACGATGTTGTAATCCCATCGTCCAGCACGTTAAGTTTTGATGTATATATCAAAGATTAAAACGACAAAATCTTCTAAACACTTGAACACCTCACTTGATGATATAGTATAATTTTTGAATCGGTCACTAATTGTTGACATGATATTTTAAAAAAAAAAATCAATGGTGATGTGATATTACCTTATGATGGCACGTAAGTATCACCGTTTATTTTTTAATAGTTGATGTTCAAAATGAAACTAATACGTAACGTTAGGTATGATTTTGAAATAAAAAATAGTTTGATGACCAAAATAAAATAAAAATAATAGTTGGAATACTAAACGCATAGCTTACCCAACATTAAAGAAAGCAAATATGTAAGGCCTTGTTGTTTGGGAGCAGGTTTAAAAATCCTTTAATTATTTTAAAATTTAAAATTTAGTTTTTATATTTCTTCAAAAGTAAATTTGTTTGTTATTTTTGTACAAAAAATTTAATTCTTTTATATTTTAATATATGGATCGAGAGATACGATTGCATCCTCGGAATATTTTAAATTTTTTTTATATTTTAATTTTTGTAATTTTTTATTGACTATCTAATTTTACACCCCGTAAAATTTTATAACTCCGCACCGCCTAAAATTTTTAATATAACTTCTTAATTTCGCAGCCTTTATAGAAATTTCTGTGTCACAGAATTATATACCAAAATGATACTAACGTAAATAGGAATAAAACTGATGATAGCGGAAATATGCGTAATACGACAATTAATATGACAATTAATGATACTAACGTAATATTCTATTATATTGATGTGACAGTCTGTAATACGATATGATAATTAATGTGTGGATTATGATGTTGTAGAAGGATAAAACTGATTTTTTAATCATTTTTTAGAATATAATGAGCTTTTTAGGCTAAATTCACGGGCACAATTGATTTAAATTATGACTTATTTAATCTTTAAGAGAAAATTATTAAAAAAATAGTTTTTTATTTTTTAATAATTTTTATAAATATTGTAATATATATTTTTTTTTAAAATAAGCGTTTGAACTCTCAATCAAAATCAATTGAATTCAACTAAAAATTAATTATACCAAGCTAAAATAATTAATTCAATTTATCTATCACGTCATCATTCATGTGTGAATAATCACTCCATCATTTCCCTATGCAAAATTATAAAATTTTACGGGATGTAAAATTAGATAATCAATAAAAAATAAAAATATAAAAGAATTTAAAAATTTTAGATGATATAATCGTATCCCTCTACCCATCCCTATTTATAATAAATAATAAAACGGACATGAATTGGTATTAGGAGTAGCTTTCAAGAGAAAAATAAAGGGAACAGTGGCATGGAATTGATGTATTTTTGTAGCTTTCCCATATTCATTAATAGATATAAAAACCATATTATTTTAGGATTTAACTTTATGAACATGTAAATAATTAATAGAAAAATAGAAAAAAAATCTTTGTACAAAAATAACAAACAAATTTACTTTTGAAGAAATATAGAACTAAATTTTAAATTTTAAAATAATTAAAGAATATTTAAACCTGCTCCAACAAGGCCTTATATATTTGCTTTCTTTAATGTTGGGGTAAACTGTGTGTTTAGTATCCCAACTATTATTTTTGTTCTATTTTGGTCATCCAACTTTTTTTATTTCAAAAACATATCTAACGTTATGTTTTAGTTTCATTTTAATCATCTACTATTAAAAAATAAATGGTGATACTTACGTGTCATCATAAGGTAATATCACATCACCATTGAATTTTAAAAAAATCATGTCAACAATCAATGACATTCATAAATTTAAAAATGGAGATCCAAAAATTTAACACTCATTTCATTTAACAAAATAGGTATGCATATTTCTTTATTTTTTTCTCCTTCCCTTATCATGTTGAACCAAATTTAATAAATTACCTAAAATAATGGGTATGCGCTTAGTCTCAAGTACATCTATCCCGGTCAATAGTTCTATTAATTTTTCAACGACATATGACTAAACTTGAAATCTAAGCCTAAAGTTAGGTGACTAAAACAGAATAAAGAAATAGTTGGGACACTAAAAGTGTTGTTTACCCTTAATGTTATTTGTTACACCTCCACTAGCTCGATATAGAATCACAACTGACACCGGTTTGAATTCTTCAATCAACAGTTTCAATAACAAAATCTTAACTAAAAAAATAAAACTAAAACTGAAACAATTTTATCTTATGGAGATAATCAGAGTATATCGTAAGTTTTCATTGAGAGATGTTCGTTTTTGGGTTTTTTGTTTTCGGAGAAATTGATAACATAGTGGGTTTACCAATATTCTTCTTTGGTTACTGTAAAGTTTTTGTTATTTTCTTCTTGGATTTTATTTAAAATATCTAATTTTTTTATATAAAAAAATAAAAATTTTAAAATAAAAATGACTACACAGCGCACTATTTTAGTAACGTGGGGTGTCATTCGTTTTGTTGTTTTAAATCTTTAGTGGCATGTGTCCTTTTTGCGTGCTGTTCATCTTTTTTGCTTACGGCTATTAAATTAAAATTTCAAGGTTCATCTTTGATGTTTCCTTTTTTATTTTGAACATCTCCCTTTCATCTTCGTTCGTCTCTTTCATGGTTTTTCTGTTAATCTGCAAGTTTATATATTTTTTTTTCTCTTCAAGAAAGTGAATTCCGATGAGAATTTTGAATTCATTTTTGCAGCTGAAAGGAGAAGATAGCAATGGACCACACAAGGCCATGGGGTTATTTAATAAAGAGGTTGAGAGTATGAGAGTGACTTGTTGAATGCGTTTTGTTCTTCTTCTTTTCTGTTTTCCTTTGATTGGTTGAACGTAAAGCAACCTTTTTTTTCTGTTCTTTCATATGAAAATATCATGTTTTTTTTAAACAATCAAACACTTTCATGTGAATTAAAGTTGCAATAGAGCCCTTTGTTCTTTTAAGTTCATAGCTAAAACAAAGGTAATGGAGCCAACAAACCAGAAATTTTTTGAAAGAGTTGTTTCACAGAGAGCTTTGCAGATGGGGAATTCATTTCCATGTCAGATTTGTGTGGTGGGTTTTCTCTGTGGAATTTGCTTGACTTCTTTGTTTTTGTCTGTTCTTACATCCGTTGGTACTTTTGGGTTTACTGGGATTTCGTTTTCATCACTGTCAGTGGGGATTTCTCCATGGAATTCAAGCTCAGAGATCATCAGTAAGTTCGAATTTGCCCCTCAGTTCTTTTTATTTGTATGTTAATTGCTTAAAGTTCTTAGTTTTCCCAGATGATGATGTGATATTCATATGAATTCACAGATTTTTCCCAGTGAAACTCGGTCAAAATTTGACGGTTTGATGAACATGAGGTCCAAGGGTGTTGTTGAAGCAAACTAAAAGTTTTGGCATTACTTGTTGCACAATTTTGTTGTTTAGATGACATTTGACTTTGTAGATAATCATATGATTAGTTTCTTTAATCCCATTCTCTTGACATACTTCAGCTACAAGCCACCATCTCAACTTCCCTTTTTTTTCACTTTGTTAGATGTTATTCGTATTTCGGGTTCAGGTCTATATCGGATACATAGACTTGTCCTGCACTTTTTCGAACATATTCATGTTTGTTTTAACGTCGATGTGTGTTTTTGTATCGAAATGTAGATGTTATTTCGAGTTCGGATTGCAACTTTAAAGTAAAAGAAACCGAGAGATGGGTGGATTTGAAGCAAAGGGAACCAGAGAGCAATGATGATGGTCAGAGAGTTTCTTTATTGACTGAAGCATGGGGAGCTTTACTAGCTGATAGGCAACCGGAAGAAAATGAGTTCTTGCAACTTCGGACTCAGTAAATCAAGTTTACCGGATTCCCCGCATTTTGAGAACTGTAAATTCAGTGCACGAGTGAATAAGCATCTCGGCGCACGTTCGGGAGCCGGGAAATTTCCCCCATGGACAACTTGGAAGGGTTCATTAAACATGTATCCTGCAACTGCGACAGATAGGAATGTAAGAAGTCTTAACCATCAGCCAGTCTCGGATGGTGCTCATCCTCCATGGGTATGTTCCTTAGCTACATAATCCGTAGATGCTTGCGGATGTGATCATACTTGTTCATTCTGTTATTGTGTTTGTCGTGATTGCATGCATTACGTTTCGGTATGTTTTGGCCTCCTTGATTTCCCGAAAATTTACAGATTGTGGGATCGGATGAAGAGAACTACCCTCGTACCCGGAAAGTGCAGCGTGACATTGGGATCCATCAACAGCCTATAAACTGCAGTGATCCTAACATAAAATTTATCGTGGCCGACTGGGAAGTATTACCCGGCTTTGGCATCGGGGCTCAGCTTGTTGGTATGACGGGGCTTCTTGCCATTGCAATTAATGAGAAAAGGGTGCTCGTTACCGTACATTACAATCAAGCCGACCACAATGGTTGTAAAGGTATGAACCCTAACAATTTATTGCTTGATATGCAGCAGTTTCTGGGAACTGGAAAAATCATCTTAACAATAGCATTGCTCTGGTATGATGTT